TTGCCAAAAAGCCGCCTGTGTTGCTTGTGTCGTTCTTGGTCTAGTGGTGCTTCATCCGTACCTTTCGTGTGTGGCACTTCTGGTGATGGTGCTGGGTTGCATGTAGTCATGCCTTCCTCCAAAATGATGTCAACATAGTTGTCGTTCAGGCTGATGTCTGTGCAGTTGCCTTTGTGTGAGATTGAGATGTTCCTGCCAAGGAAATGTACTGTTGATCCCACTGTCAGGTCGCCTGTGTGTCTCAGCAGGACTTCCTTTTGCGTTCTGCTAAGCAAGGTGTCGATGATGCTTTGTACTCCTATGAATAGGAGATTGTCTACATAAATCATGATGTAGACTTGGCAGGTCAAAATTGCTTCCTGTTGTGCATCTCACAAGCTCAAGTCTGACTGTGAGAATGTGTGCTATGTGGTCTTGCCATTGTTTTGGTGATGATCTTAAGCCATAGATGGCTGTGTTCAGCCGCCGCATGATGTGTCTGTTTTATTCATTGTAGAACTCGTGTGGCGGTCTCATTACCAAGTTGTAGGAGATTGCTGCTGCATGAAGGAATGCAACGCTGACATCCTGTGCAGACCGATCAGTTGTACACCAATGCCATTGCGAGAAGAACCTCAGTGTGCAAAAGAATGTTGTACTAGTTGTGTTTTTGTTTAAGAGCCCATCTTGATTCAATGATGTTTGCTAGCTGTTCTGGTGTCATTGTTTGCCATCAATCTCTGTAAAGATTGATTTGTTGTACTTCTTTCTTCATGCCTTGTCCTACCTGTTGTGGATCCAACCCTTCTGTTTCATGTATGATTGGCTCGGGTAGGATCCTTTCAGTGTCTGTTGCTTCTCTGTCCTCAATGGATGTTGTCTCCATTTGCTTGCCTTCTCTTGTGGAAAAATTGCTGGCAGTGCGGCAGTGATTATCATTTTGCCCTGTGGTTGTTCTGCTGGTGTAGGTCGCTCCAGTGACTGTCTTCTTGTTGTGGTGCGCTGTTGCTTACTTGTGCTGCCTTCTGCAATTGTGTCAACTCTCTCTCTCTCTCTCTTTCTCTCTCTTCTGTGATGTAGGCGGTGGTTCTGGCTGCTGGTCGCTTCTGATGTGTTGGTGATGTGGCCATTGGTGATGTTGGTTCTGCTGTCCTCTTCTGAATTGGTTGTTGGTCGATCCCATTGTAGAACCTTGGCTCCAGTTTTGGAAACTCTTTCACTGCTGGAAGCATGTGCCGCACTGTCTCACCAAACTCGCAAAGTGGTGTGTGTGTTGCTCTCTGTTCCATCTGTTAAAGTAACTTGTACATCCATTGCTGCGGGCTGCATGCCTGTTCATGATGTGTGTGTTGTGTCGAACTATCCAAGGCATGAGTGGATGTTTTGTTGAAATGTGTCTGTTGTAGCTTTGCCTGACTTGTGTTTTGAGTGTTCTGACTTGTGCAAACAGTGTTCTGTGTGCTCGCTCTACATTTGTGAGCTGTATGCTCCTGAGTTCCTTGTGGGAATGTTGCCTGTCCTGTTTGCTACTGCTGTGACGAGTGTCAGGAACTCTTCCTGATCTGATTGTAGTACGGTGCGCGATGTTCTTCCACATTCAATGAGGGAGTTGTAGTTGCGCGACTGCGTAGTGGAAGAGCATCTTCTTGTCTGTTAGTTGTATTGCCATGATCATCCCAGATTGGATGTCACTTGCTGTGAGGATTGGACGAACGCTGCTGTCATCAAAGCCTTTGATGTGGCCGAAGCCAAGCTGTATGATTGGAAGCTTGCGGTGCTGTTTTGGGTGATTGCTTTGTCTGCCTCTTGCTTGTATGCATATTGGACACCAATTCCTGTAAGGAAAGTGTGTCACATTGTGTTCCAAGACCTCCTGTGGAGTTGGTTGCTTGGGAGCTTGTGCTGCTTTTGCTCTTGTGCCTTGTTGTTCTTCCTCGCCATCTGACTCAAGTTGTTGTGGAAATTCCTGATGTTCTTCGAAGTTTGTCCAGCCTGTCCAAGGCTTGTCTGATGTCTTTGCTGGTTGTGTTGTCCGTTCATCTTCTACCAATTCAATGTTGCGCTCTCCTCCTATTATTTGTAATTTGGTTTGTCTCCAGAGTCTCTTGATGTGTGGCCCGTCATGTGTCTGCTCTGGTATGTAGAATGCTGCGCGTGGCGCAATGTGTACTCTCTTCCAGTGTGGGCCTTCTCTGTACCAGTAATCTCCTCCAGGGTGTACTTCTCAAGCATGTGGGGCTGCACCTTTGGTGGTGTGTGGTGCTGCTGTGTCACTGATCGTTGGTGGTGTTGTTTTCTCATTCAATCGCTCGCGTGTGTTGTACTTCTGTGGTGCGCTCTTTTGGCTGTGCATTTGCTGCAAACTGTTGCTGTAGTGTCTCTGGCAGAGTTGTGCCTTGAATGCTTCCGCATCTGCTGTTGTGCTTTGTGTGGCATTTCCACTGTTTGACACTTGTTCTCAATCGTGTTCGTTGTACCATCCTTGAATCTGATGGCTTGGTGCGATCATGCAAATTTGTCCTTGAGCTGTGTTGTGTATCTGTAGCTTTGTTCCCTTTGGCAATGCTTTGATTTGTGCTTGTAGCAAGAACCGGCCATTTCTGTGCTGTTGAGTTCTTTGATGCGCTGTAGTCTTGGAGTGTCATCCAGTGTAAGCTGGGAACCTTGTTCGTGACCGAAAGAATTGGCTGTTTAACCTCACAAACATAAAATGGTATGACAATCTGTTGTCCGCTGCGGCTTGTCACGCAAACCCATCTGTATCCATAAAGCTTGATGTGCTGACTTGTAACTGTTCTGAGCTGTGGTTTTGTTCCATGTTCGAGCTGGTGTAGTGGAAATTGTGGTGCGCTGCTGTGGGCATACATGTGTAGCATGTGTAGCTGCACTGCTGTCAACCATAAGATTGACCCACTTGTTGTCCTTTGTATGTTGCTGTGCTGCGCCAGTCATGGCAACTGTTACTTCTTGTAATCTTGAGATGGACGCTGCTGATGAACTTGCTTGCTGTGGTGGTTGTGGCGACACTAGCCTGTCTGTCTGATCCTGATGGTACCAGTTGTCATCGTAGTGCGTCTGGCCGTACCAGTCATCTGTCTGGTCGTTGGTGTCGACGTTGCCAGTGTCGCAGTTGTAAGCCCAACTTTGCATTGCTTGGCCATGTGTTCTGGATGCCCACATCTGTAACAAACATGTGTTGCATGCTTTCCTTTTGATCCTTTTTCTCCTGGTTGGTTGTTGTAGTACCCTTTGCCTTTTCCTTTGTTGCTGTATCCTTTTTCTTTGCCATATCCTTGTTGTCCTTTGAAAGGATTTTCTTGTCCAACCGGTTGCTGATTGTATTTGTTTTCTCGTCCTTTGTAGTTGTTGTAGCTGTAGTTGTTCGTGTAGTTCCCGTAGCCTTTGCCTTTGTTGTGCTTTCCTTTGCCCTTGTGTTTGCCTTTCTTTCCTTTGCCTTTGTTGTACCATGTTGCTCCTATGTCCATCGGTGCCGGTCCTTGGTTGTTGCTGCCTGATGTGATTGCTTGTAGCCTGGTGAATGTTGCTGTTGCTCTGTTTTTCGATAGCCATAGATCTGATCTGTGCATATGTTGTGATGTTTCCTGCTTGCAGGTGTAGGTGTTGCTGTAGTGGACCATTTGTCTTGTTGAGCAGTACTGCAATCTTGGTTGCGTCTGGTAGTGCTGTGTCGTTGTCTTGTTCGTACTTCGCGAGTTGGAACTCCCATGTTGTGAAGCTCTCTTGGAACTTCTGTTCATCAAGTTGTGGTTTTAGAAGCCGTGTAGGGTATCCAATACTCCTTGTGCCAAGTTGTATGGAGCGCCTTGCATGTATCAGTCGCCATGTTTCAAAGCCGTTCCCTTGAAGGCTGTGTCTGCAGATTGTAGATGCTGGTCCATCGCATGTGCTCACTAGGATGTAGTGCAATTCGTTGCTTAGTTGTGTCCAGTGTTCTGCCACTTGTTGTGAAGGTGCTGCATTCTCAAGTTGGTCATTTGTAACTTGTCCTACTGATTGCTCTGCCTGTCTAAGCAGTCTGTTGTATGCTGGGTCCTGTAGTCCAAGGTATGCTGTTACCTTGTGCTTCCATTCCTCGCAGGTGTTGTATTCTCCTGAGAACCGTGGTGGTGATACCTTCTACTTCTGGAGTCTTTCCAGCTGCTCCTCTCGCTGTTGTTGTGTTGCCATGTCTGCTCACTACCGCGCGCCTGAACCTGTCGGTGCGTGTTGGAGCTCACCCTGGGTTGTGTTCGAGGATCGTGTGCCAGGGACCACTGCTCCGCTACCATGTTAAGCCGGGTGTGACTGGGTAAACCTGTGATGTGTCAGCGCGGCACTTGTTGTGTCCTGGCACTGGGCTGTAGTCTGTCAGGCCTTGATGTGCAAAGGAGCAGCGCCATGTACATGATGGATGTATATCAACACGACTACGTGTGTATATATATATATATATGCAACCCTATCTGCGCAGAGCACGCAGCGACACAACCACACGAGCCCACCGAACCTCTGGCACGATATGAAGTGCAAGGATTTGATAGTTGACTCCCAGGCAGTAAGCCCACAAAGGGCACTTGCACTTGCCAGTTGCGACTTTCGTGCCGGAGCTAAATGTGTTTCGCGTGCCGCCCTTGCGTAGCTGCAAGCTCTTTCGCTCTTTCGCTTACTTGCTCTTAAAGATTTCTTCAGGACATGGCAGTAAAAGGAGGTAATATACAATTCGGTCCTGTCCGGGGTCATCGTTTGTTTTACTCCTTATCGTTTTGCAGTGGCTTGCCGAAAAGGTCGGAAAACGCAGCCAAGCCTCTTAGCACTGGCCTGGGACGTGGCTTCGGCGGGCTGAGCGCTACGTGCCTCAGGCAAAAGTCCCCGCCTGGATCACTGGAGATGAGCGTCCAGACGCGCGACGCTTTCCGGCTCCCAAAAGTGGCGGCAAGCGAAACTCGAGTGAAGCGAGTCGTGCCGATGCTTGGCGCAGCTTTTGGCCTTTTGTTCCAGGGTCTAGTCGTTTGAACTTGCAGGTCAAGACGTTCGAGCGCTTGCATCATCCCAACATTGTCGAGCGGCGGCCTCAAAAAATCCAGAGGCCGTGATAGCTAGAATATGTCAGGTACAAGCACTCCTGGCTGGAGCTTTCCCGAAGATCTGAGTTCTGCCCCTTTGCAAGGCACTTAAGGCATTTCCGTGAGGTTATCCCTCCCCTTGCTGGCTGAGGTACCCTTCCTTTTTATTCTCATGCCGCAACCTGAGGACCTGAAAATTGCCTCGGGTCTGGGGGTCCCTTTGTCCTACACTGTCACACCATGTCTTTGCGACTTGTCCAATTTGTCCTTCCCGTGAATGAATGTATATCGTGTGTATCCTGTGCCGTGTCCCGTGTAGGCAGTACTGCAACGGGGGCTCCCTGGCCGAGATGATTTGGCATGACGGCAGTCCCATAACTCCCAAAGATCCGCTCTCAACGGAGCAGGCACAACAGCAAGGGGCAACACGCGGCTCGCGTTCTTGTTTCTCAGACGTGGCACTTCTTGGTAGACATTTTGCTGGGCCTTCAGCATCTACACAGGCCGAGCATGCGGCTCTCGGGTGGCCGCTCAATCCGACTATGCGAGGCAGGGAATCCTTCACAGAGACCTCAAGCCCACAAACATCCTGCTCTCGTGGGAAGACAGTGGCAGGCGGGCCATGTGTAGCGCGAGCTGAGTTTGTGCGGTGGAGCTTTGCAGACGCGCGGCAAGCCCACGGGCGCTGCTCAGTGCTGCACACAGACTTGGGCGCATGCACGGAGCGCGCACAGATGTCTTGCCGAAGTTGTCTGTCGCCTTTTCTGCCGATTTGCTCTGCTCTGCGCTGTGCTCTAGGCGACTTCGGCACGGCCCAGGCATTCGGGGAGCCACCTGCCAGCCAGAGCCCCATGCCCATCTGCGCTTGGGACGGACGCGCCAGACGCGTCAGGCGCCACAGCAGCAAAGTCGCGTGGCTACACCGGAACTGTGGCGGCCTGAGCTGTCAGGGCGAAAGAGCGAGGGAAGAGCGAGGGAAGTGGAGCAAGTGGAGCAAGTGGAGCAAGTGGAGCAGATGGCAGGTGGAGTACACCGCCCCAGAGCTGCTCTTCGAGGACGAGCGAGCGTACTCTGAGAAGAGCGACATGTGGCCAGAAGCAAAGTGATTCGGGACTCAGATTGCAGTTCGCGCCACAGCCTGAGGTCGCTTGGCATGGTCCTGTACGCCATGTGCTTTGCATCCCTGCCCTTTTCGCATGATGATCCTCATGTGCTCAAGGCATTTGCTTTGCCTCTTTGCAACTTTTGCGTTCTGCTTTCTTTCTTTCTTTCTTTCTTTCTGTCTTTCCAGAGCCTGATCAAGTCCTTCGTAGAGGAGAAGCGCAATGACAGCGCAGCGCCCAGCGCAGAGGAGGGCCGAAGCCGGATGCGAGATCTGGAGCATTGGCTCCATCTTTTGCATGTCGGAACTGAGGCTTTGGATGCATAACACGTTGATCTCTTTAGGTTGATTTGGAAACGGGGAGGAGCTGAATTGGTTTGTTATTTGCCCAGGTTCAGGATTAAACTTGTGGGCCAACGCCATTGGAACAATGGACACGTATTCCAGCGAGCCAGTCTCAGGCAGGAGTTCAAAAGGTAGAGCCTAGCCAACGTTATGTCTCTCAATGTCAATGTTCAAATATCAATACTTCTCAATGCCAGTACGTAAGCACGAGGTTGGCGTCCGTCCAGCCGAGACATGATGTTCAGTGTGAAGTTTTGTCAAAATAAGCGCTAGCCACAGACTTGATATGTTTGCCCAACGGAATGAAAACGGAGGCCTTGACATGCTCTAGAAAATGCAGGTTTCTTTCGACTGCTTCAGGAAGAGTTGATGTGCTTTTGAAACGGCTGACGTCCGTTTGGCATTGGAAACTGGACCCGAAGTGCAAGGAGGACGCTTCCAGCTGGCTGCCCTTCGATGCCGGCGGTCGCATCGGGCCCCTGCGCCTGGCGCGGAGCTCACGAGCTTGTCACGCTAGTTTCATTTCTTTCTTTTTCTTTGTTTTTCTTTTCGTTTAAGTCTTGAAGGTGCTGGCAGCATTGCTTGCGCTGGATGCGCGGCGCCGGCCTGCCACTGCAGACTTGCTGGCGCCTCAGCACTCGATGTCAGTTCCCGCTCATGAGGCGCTCAACGCATGTGTCAAATGTCAATTGCATGGGGTCCTTAGGTTGGAGAACCCGGTCTTCCGGCGCCAAGCCCGCAGATACCTCCGCAAGCCTGAGAGCGCGGAGTCCTTGGGAGAGAGGCTGTCAACCTATAGCCATGGAATCTGATAGTTTGGTTTTAGATACTGATAGTTTCAAAATTGGGATGAAGATTTTGTTTGGGAGTGTCTATTTACTTCCCTGTATTTGCTTGAAGTCAGGATAGCACATATTGCTGTGTGTGATCTGTGTCAGGTGATGCCATGATGCAACTCTTCAAGTTGTCACTATGGGACTAATCACTAGATGCATGATGTTCAAATCTTCAAGCCATCACCAGGACAAATTTCATTTGCCCTAGCCTACCAAACCAGGCCCAAGCATGTCAACTCAGCAGTGACAGGTTGAGCCTGTTGATCTGGCTTGCATTACATATCCTTTGACAATAGGTAATATTAATACGATTTTGTGCAATTCTGAAAAACAAATTAGAGCACACTTGCTGGCTGGTTCATCAGCAGCCACTGGGACTGATGATCCAGAAGCAGTGCCTTGGCAGGCCACTGGCACAAGTGCAAAGGATTCTAATTTGGCAGAAATTCAAGATTAGCACTGTTCCTGAAAATGCAAGATGCAAAGTTGAAAGGAACTGGTGGTGCTGGGGACGCTGGCTATAATGGAGCGGTGGACTTGACCCACCATCATCTACTCTGGTGATGGACTCCCTAGTAGTTTGCCCACTCAGAGTGATGCCTTAGCCAGTAGGCTACTGGGCCAGGTGCTTTTGAATATTGGAGTGGAGCCAGTATAATCGTCTAAAATTGTTGCAACAGTTGTTCGTGTTCAACATGGACAAACTGGAAGGGTGACTTGCAAATGTTCAGGGCACAGTCTGCATTTCATCACTGGTGGTTATGCAAGCATAGGAAAAATACCTTTGAACCAAGGAGGTGATGAGCATCAAACTTTCCAAATCACCCTGCAGATTTGCCATGTTGAATTATGGCTGGCCACCCAATTTGCACCTTGGCTCACCTCAGCGAAGCGGACCTCAGCGAAGCAGTCAGTCATCCAGGCTGGACCATAGCTCGGGTAGTGGGGATGGAAGGGCTGGGTTGGAACAAGGTTGCAAATTGTGAACCACTCCAGCCAAGATGAAATTTGACTAACATTGACATGTATTTGCTGGCCACTACTAGGATCATGGGCCAGGAGAGCCTGGACACCAAAAAAAACAAATCAAAAACTATAGTTATTAAAACTCAGGTCTGTTGAATGTTCAATTCCAGGAGTTACCCAGGAGCCAAAGTCACTGACTCCATTGTGGAAGCAAAATTTGCCTTGCAACACCAGCTGAGCCCTCCAACATCCACCTAGGCAACAACATGACAATGGCTTTGAACTTATAGCCCACCAGCCCAACCAACCCACAAAGACAATGCACTGGGCACCCCTTAATGTACTGTGTTGCACTTTGAACAATTGGCACAACCAAGCCGGACTCAGTTGGAAGAGGCCAGCCAATTTGTGTTTTGGCTCAATGACCTGAAGCATGATGCAACACAGGTTCTGAGATCAACCCTTGGTCAAACAATGGTCTTCAACAGGGTCTTCAATCAATGGTTCCTTCAAAAATGCGGGTGATCCTGCAGTATGCCCTCCACCAGGCTTGATGCCCTTCATCTCAGGCCGCAGGGAGGGAGGGATGCAGAAAAAGCCTAAGTTAAGCGTCAGGTCTGCTTGTATTGTTGGCTGTGGGAAGAGGAAGCGGGGAGTTGTTTGAGTAAATCTTGGGGACACAATAGTTTGCAAGGGAAATAGATCATTCAATCCCAGCATATGTCCACTTGCTCAGGAGTGGTTTTAGAGGGCACTGCGTCACGCACATTTGATTTGAGACTGCATCAATGATGAAGCTCTTGACTTCAACAAGGAAGAAGTGTTTTGTGACATCACTGCGTGGGAAAAACGCCACCATGAGGCATAGCAAGAACCACCAAGCAAAATATTTTAGGGCTGGGGCCAACAGTGGCATGCTTCAGTAGGACACCTCAAAAAACATGGGAACTCCACATGTTCAGCATGAGGGCAATTTCACACCAGGCCTGTGCATTCGAGGTTGCCTCAATCATCACAGTGCCAGTGCTCATGCTGCCACTGTGCCTGGCATGGAAAAGGGTGATGCAACACTGCAACGCAGTCTACTACATCTTGTTTGGTGCAACAGGTGCAAAAGACCAATGACTGCTATATATGAAATTATGAACATTGCCTGTGTAATGAAGCGAAACCAATAACCCTGGTAGAATTATTAATACTTATTGCTTCATTACATGATGGCAATGTTCATAACATCATTGGCCTTTTGAACTGTGCACCAAAAAATACACGCAGCTCTTTCTGAAAAACACCTTGCTTGGAAAGGGAAACACTGTCTTGAATTCCAGACACTGGTTGGCTGGCTGGCTAGCACAGACCAGGTCAAGCTGACAAGCTCATTTTGACCAATCGCAATCAAAAGCTTGCCCTCTAAGAAACGGATGGCTGCATCCATGCCATCTGGGCTGGCACTTTCGCCTTGGGCTGCACCTTCGTGGCCTCACAAGCTAGGTTCAGCCATGAAGGGGAGCTTGATGCACTTGAGGCACCTCTTAGAAGCATTCTGCAACAAAGGTGTCATCCAGCTGGCCGTCTGCTCCTTCTGCTCCTTCTGCTCCTTCTCCTGCGTCTTGGCCTTTTTGGCATGGGTCTGGGCACCCTTCTTCGCCGCCTTCATGGCTTTCATGGCCTTCACAGCCTTCTTCACCTTCATCACTTTCATTGCCTTCTTCTCCTTCATGGTTTTTGCCTGCTTGGCCTTCTTGGTGACAGTACTGCCAGATGCAGACCTTCTGCTCAGCCATGCCTGCACAATGGCTTTTCCTAGCAGGGGCGGGTAGCTGGCACCGCTTTTTCCCGGAGCATCTCTGTACACCTTCGTTGTTCTGAGATGGCCTTGGTCTCGACATGGACATGGCTTAGCCAATGCTTGAATCCACTCTCCCTGGCCAGCAATGCGGTACTTCTTCCATAGCTTCATTTTCCCCTTCTGCTTTGCCTGCCATGCACACCGAAGCACAGCCACAAAGCCATAGCCGAGCTCCTTCAAGGCATCCCGCAAGGGTGGCCAATGCCACATATAGCTCTTCACGGGGTTCTCAAAGGCCAGGCAAAGTTTCCTTGCCTCAGCCAGCTGGATCAGAACAATGCAGCCCATCACCATGTCGTTGGAGCTTTGAACTGATCTGTTGTTGGTGTCACCCCAGAACTGGTTCTTCTTCCCCCTCTTCGTGTTGCTGACATCCAAGTACATCCAAGACCCGCACCTTGGCGCAAGGAATGCTAGTCCATCTTCTTCCAGCCGCATGATCAAAGCCAACTTTGCTGTTGAAATCCTCACTCTGGTTTGTGGCTGTGTCCGTCACACCAGGCTGCCTCTCAATGTCATATTCTGCACTGGCCAGGTTCTGCTTAGTGGCAGCCCGATGGATGGACCCACAGCCAGCAAAAAATTCACACACTCTAAGGTCTCGCTCCAAGGATGCAAACTCAAGATTCTCCAAAATGCTTTGGTGCATCATTCAAGGACTCAATTAACATGTGGCTCAACATGAATGCTGACGGCGACTTTTGTCCATGCTCACTTGCTCCATTGCTTGTCACTGGAACTTCACCATCATCTGCCAGGAGATCTGAGGAAGGTGAGGATAGTATTGCACATCCTTGGCAATTAGGCAGTCACATGCAAACCAGCCAACTCACATGCAGCTGCGTGATTTGAATGTATGAAATTTCTGAGCGCCAGACATAAAGTGTCAAGGGTTGCCTGTGATGAGCTGCGGCTGCAGCAACACCTTCAAGAAGGCCATCTGATGAAGGGACCTGCGGCCGCCCATTCGCCAGCACCCGAAGCTCTGTAGCTGCACGGAAGAAGGAATGATCTGCAGACCATTGACCAGATAACTGCTCCAACAGGTTGGCCAAATTCCGCAGTTGCTTTTTGCGCTGATCAGCAAGAGTCACCTGCACTGCTTGTGTGGGGCATGGGGTAATCACTGCACTCTCATATCGCGAATTGGGCAGCATCAAAACTGGAGCATGAGAGGCAGTGTCAGCCATAAACTGCTTGGTGATGCAAAAAACGTCAAGATCATGAGGACGGAAATTGGGCAGGCCAGCCATCATTCCACCAGGCAGAGCTGCAGCTGCAAGAGCTTGCAGCTCTGCCCGGCTCAAATCCATCCGGAACTTCCAAGTGAAGGAATGAGGAGTCTCAATCTTCTGCCGGTTCTGAAAGCAATTGTAGGGCTTGATGCCAAGTGGGGCAACCCAGTGCCCGAAGTCACGAACATGAGAAACATGATCCACATGGCACTGGTAGCCCTTGCTCAGGAGCAAGGACTCCATGCCAGCATGGATCCCTTGAACAAGGTCAAGTGGGGTGTGGACCCTGAGTTTTCTCAAGACACGAGCAAGCAATAAAGAGAAGATGAAGTCCACGTCCTCATGCGTGTGCCCCTTGCGCAAGGTTTGTTGAATCAAATGCGAAGCGACGTGTAAGAATGCCCATGAAAAGTGCAGTCTCTGCATTTTTGCAAGCTGCGACAGTATTGTCACTTTGAATACACAGATGACGCACTTGGCAAACCTTGCTCTGCCCTGATCTGCTTGACTCGACCAATTGTGCGTGTCAAGATTTCCAAGATGTATGAAGCACCATGAAATGTACATTGTTCTTCGGAGATGTAGAAGTCGCAACTATATCCATGACTCATAGAAGCATGAATAACAAGACGCGGGCGATGCTGCTTTTCAAGTTCTTTTGGCGCCCTGAATGACCATTGTGGATATGTGCCTTTGGAGCGGTCAAGGCCATCACAAATTATGCAAAGTATTGAACTATCTGGAGCTCGGCTTGCCCAACTCATGTGCCAGTACAGCACCCTGTCAGCATACTGTGCTTTGATGTGAAGCTGCCACTCTGCAGCTTTCAGCCGCTTCTCAGCTGGTGTTGCACGGCCTGCGTTTTTTGGCCATGGGCC